ACAAAATGTGTTTTCATACTGCCTACAGGAATTTCTCATTCCTGGCAACTGGTTTAAACCATGGTCATTGGTCCAAGAAGAATGGAAAGAAAGAATATTATGGATAAACAAGTTCTTTTATGAACCCAAATTCCGAGATAATATGCCACCATTTGGCTCTAATCTATCCTTAGATGTGAATCAATAAGCTTATTCATACTCAGGTATGGAGGATCGTACAGGATGTGAATCTCATGGGCCCAATATATCAATTATGGGACATGCCTTGTAGACATCTTAATATGTTTTTTTTCTACTAAGATACTCAGGACTGTCTGTTATTGATTGCAGCCCTTTGGAGATGAGTAGTCAACTATGTGAGCATTGAAATATTCTTTATATTCTTATGTCTTTTTGTGTACTTTAAAAAACCAATTCAGGTATCCTGGTTACAAATCTTGAATTCATATTTTATAACTGCCTTAGTTTGACCAATATCACTGTTATCAGTAGCAGAAAAGAAAGCAATTTAAAAGCAGGAAACATACTTTGGCTCATGACTTCAGAAATGAAAGTCTGAGCAGTTGACCTGATTTTGCTGGACGTGAGATGAAACAGAGCACATTGGTGGAAACATAATGTTGGAACAGGCTTCTCTCCTCAAGGTCTTCAGACAGCAAAGACTGAAAGGAAATAAGGAGCATGGACAATGGACAGACGGCCAATTGCTGCCATGAAATGATGGCTTTATCATAAAGTCAGACAGGTCCTTTCATTACTCATACAGCTTTTTATATGAAGTGACTTTATAAAAATCACCGTAGATTAAACAGAAAGGTAATGATTAGAAGAATACAAAAGACACAATGGAAACTGCATTTAAAAAACATTTATTTGTCGGGTGGTGGTGGTGCATGCCTTTAATCCCAGCACTCAGGAGGCAGAGGCAGGTGGATCTCTGTGAGTTCAAGGCCAGCCTGGTCTACAAAGCAAGTTCCAGGAAAGGCACAAAGCTACACAGAGAAACCCTGTCTCAAAAAAACAAAACAACAACAACAAACAAAACAAAACAAAAACAAAAAAATTGCTTGCTTGTATGTGTTTATGTGCACACATATACAGCTGTGTGTACATTGGAGATAAAAGGTTGTATCTGATCCTTCAGAACCGGAGTTATAGGTACATTCCTCCAGGACAGCCCAGATTCTTATGTGCATGTTGCTGCTGTGGGTGCTGCTGTCTGAGCTCTGGTAACTAAAATCAATAACATTGTTGCTTCAACTATGTTTAAACATTTAAAACTTTTTTGATCCTTCATTGGAAATTCCACTTATTCCTTTTCCATATTTGAATGTTTTCTTTGAATACATTTTTGGGTGACTTTGCTGTCATTTGGGGTGAATTTGTACTTTCCAGGCCCTACTTTTTGTCGTTGCTTAAATATTCAATATTATTACTGGAGAATGCAGAATAAAAATGGACACCACTTTATTCTTAGGATTTCCTGTTTTATCTTTGGAAACTGATAATGTTATTCAACCATCCTTCCAGATTTTCATACTATTTGGCATTTTCTCTACAGAGTTATAAAAATCTGCTCTTTGCATAATGAGACTTCCTTTAATATCCATTTAAAAACTACTGAGTTCATTTTCTTTAAATAGGTGAGTGAAAGCACACAGACATTTCCACTTTTGGGTGTCTGAAGCCAATCTCCAGATATTAATCATTAGTAGTCTGTTGTCAGGCCATTATCAATATCTTCCTCACTGGCTTTATTGGCAGAGTTGTTAGGGTTACCAGCAGAGTTATAAACAACTATGTGCAACATCCGCATCCACACACTGATGCTAACATTCACATTTATAAAATCACTTGGAGAATATTCTTTACATTAATGTGTATATGTTAATGTTGTGTTGTGTATGTATTATGTGTGATGTATAGGAATATGTATGTGCCAGTGTATGTGTGAAAGTGTGTATTCAGGTGCAAAAGCATATGCTTGTGATGTTCTTGGAGGCTGGAGTTGATTTAAGGTGTCTTTCCTTGATCACTCTATCATTCTTCACCTCCATTTATATAGTCATATTATTAGTTCTTTGAGAATTCCTTGCACCATGTTTTAATAATATTTACCTCCACATCCTCCAAGATCCACCCCTTCCTTATCCATGCAAGTTTGTGGCTTTCCCCTCACTTTTTAAAAGCCCATTGGATCTAATATGCATTGCTCATATGTGCATGAGTGTGCGGCCTTCCACTGGATCATGTTCAGCATATCAGAAGTTACAAGCTTAAAGAAAACTGACTCTCTTTCTCCCAGCAGCTATCAATTTCCATAGCACCTCAGCTAGTGACAGGACTTCTTGTCCTCTTCCCTTCTCTATGAAGGGATTTAGGCTTGATCTTGTAAAGATCTTGTGCATGTTGTCATAACCGCTGTGAATTCATATATGAAACTCCCCTGCTGTGTCTAGAAGACTGTTTTCTTATAGTAATCCATCACCTCTGACTCTAACAGTTATTCCCTTGCTCTTCTGCAATGTTCTGTGAACCCTAGGAGAAGAGGCAAGATATAGATGTCCCATTTAAGATTGAGCATTCTACAGTCTTATTCTCTGCATCTAAGCCAATTGTGAATCCATGAGTTTATTGCATTTGATGAGGGTTGAGAGATACATTATGAAAACTTGCTATTGTAGAAGCTTCACACACACACACACACACACACACACACACACACACACACACACACACACACATTGAATTATCTTATAACAGGATGACAGTGCCCATACTAAATACTGCCTTTTTTTTTTAAAAAAAAAAAAAAAAAAAAGGTATCTCATGAAAACCAAACCTCAGCTAGAATGTCTGCCCAGCAAGCTTCAGAAATGTGCTTATTCCTATACTCCTACCCCAGTGTTTGGGTTAGAAACACATACTACCAAACTAGTTTTAATTATTATAAATTTTTAGAATGTGGGTTATATGACTGTAAACTCAAGTTTATGGCCTTATATGGTTAGATTTTCCTCACTGAGCCATCTGGTCAATCCCTGTCCTTGGTTTAAAGTGACATCTTTTTTTATAATTAATGTTGCCCCCTATTCTTTTTGTCCTCTGAATATAGGTAATGGATAGCAGATTTGTTTAAGGAGTTACAGAGCTTGTGTTTTAATTTATTATTTAGGTGCAGGATCTCACTTTTGTTTGGCCTATATTACAACAGGCCTTGAAAAAGCAGAAATCAAACAGTCTATGCCTTCCGAGTTCTGGGTTTCAAGGCAGGCACAGATACATCCATTGGGGAAAAAAACTGTTTTAAAATACTTCTTGTGCATATATCACAGTTGGATTTAATAAAGCAAATTAGTTGACCAGTGTCAAAACATTAAAAATTATCTGAAAGACAGTTCTTGGGTTTTTCTTTCTCTACCCACTATCTCTTTTTATTTCTTACTTATACTCCTGTTTCAAAATTCTGATCATTATGAATTCTCAGAAATCCATGGCCTTTTATAGTCTCTCTCTTTTTTTTTCTGTACTTAACTCTGTTTGCTTAAATGTCCTATTCCCAACTAGTATCCTGTAGATGTATCCAACCTTCTTATTAAATAATAAACACAGAACCAATGCAAAGAAGAAAGCCAAGAGGTCAGAGCTAAGAGCTAAAACCTTACCCTTCCTCCTGCGGTGGTCCTACCTCTCCGAACCAGAACTACCCCTGTGTTAAAGTCTTTATATAGAGTTCCTGTCCTGCCTTCTCATTGGTTGTAAACCCAACCACATGACCGCCTCCTCACGGCCTGTCTGTATAGGCCTCCAGGTTTTCCATGATTGGTATTAAGATTAAAGGCATGTGTATCCAATAATGGCTGTATCCCTGAACACACAGAGACTTACCCAGCTCTGCCTACCAAGTGCTGGAATTAAAAGCGTAAGCTACCACTGCCCTGCTTTCCTATGGCTTGCTAATAGCTCTGACCCCCAGGCAACTTTATTTATTAACATACAAATAACATTTTAATACAAATAAAATATCACCATAGTATCCATCCACTGAAAATTCTAATATAGCTTGGTCCTATTATGGACTACAGAGAATGATTGAAGAACCATGATAACCAGACTTTTCAGATTTTCATGTTCCATGCCCCCAGTCAAGGAAGGATACAATCCCCATTAGCTATTGAAGTATCTCTATATAGTAGATGCTAGGGTGTTGATTACTAGTAGGGAGTATGCTGAAACAGGAATGAGATGTAAAATAAGATGAGTTGAATGGGAAAGTCTTCATAAGAAAGCCTTCATGCTCTATGAGCAAGGGACATTGAGATCATGATGGGAACATGTACAGAGACAGCCAGCCAAACTAGTAGAAATGCATGAACTGTGGACCAATAGCTGAGGAGCCCCCATGGTACTGGCCTAGGCCCTCTGGGTAGGTGAGACAGTTGTTTAGCTTGAACTATTTAGTGGTCCCCCAGGCAGTGGGATTGGACCCGTCCTTGGTGCATGAACAGGCTTTTTGGAGCCTAGTGCCTGTGGTGGGACACTTTGCATAGCCTTAGTGCAGGGAGGAGGGGCTTGGACCTGTCTCAACTGAATGTACCAGGCTCTGCTGACTCCCCATAGGAGACCTTGCCTTGGAGGAGATGGGAATGGGAAGGGGTGGGAAGCAGGGGGAAGGCTGAGGCATGGGAGGAGGGAGATGAGGGGAATCTGTGGTTAGTAAGTTTAATGAATAGAAATTCTCTTAATAATAAAAAAAATGTTTCTCATGTTAAAAAAAAGAAAACCTTCATGTATCATCTGTTTGTTTGGGACATATGTAGTGAGAAGGCCTGGATCCTTCTTTGGTAGAGATTTCTATGGATGAAATGCTGGCTAAAGCAAGCAATGCTATAGGTTGAGAATGGGTGATAGTTTGCTTGAGAAGAAGACAACACATGGATAATTTCAGGAGTTGTGACGTAGATGTAGTCACTGGGGCTCAGCTCCCCATGATCACTTACCTCTGCATTTTGTCCAGTTGGGGTTTTCTGTGATAATTTCTACTTGCTGTAAAGATAAGCTATTTTCATAAGTGGTGATAGCTACAGTTATCTGTGAGTAAAAGAGAAGATTGAGAATGCAATTAGGAATTATACTGGCCTAGCAAAGTGAAGGTAATAGATTATCTTCTAAGATCCATGACCTCACTAGGAGGGTTGGGAAAATTCTAAGAGTCAGAAAGCCAGGATATTTTCTGAGAAGCAGTCTTTCATAGGAATGATTTCATAAATAAGACTTGAACAATGGCAATATTTGTAGACATGCTAATACTAAAGGGGAGGAAAACTCATGGGGTTCCATGACTAAACAAAGAACTACTGGTCACTAGTGACCGATAAGAGAGGTAGAATTAGCCTTTCTCAGGAATGAGCCACTACCTGGTTACTGAATACAATGTAGTCAGCACTGAAACCATAAACACACAAACAACAACAACAAAAAAACAGATTCTGTAGGATATGCATATATATATGTGTATGTAGATGCTTTGTCATTAAGATTTTAGTAAACACACACACACACACATATATATATATATATATAAACACAAATGCTTAAAAGTAAATCTATAATCATATTTCATATATCCTTTCATGAATATAATAAAATGTAATTAGCTAATATATTCAAAATATATTGTCAATCAATGTACACAAAAGTTATATATTCTGTTCCTCCGAATTTAGGAACATACAAGTAAGGTAGAGACAAAGTTGCTATATTTGCATGCTTCTATGTAAAACTGACAAACCTGGATGTTGACAGAGAAGATATCCAAGACCAAAGTTATATTCTCTATAAGCTGCTCCTCTGATATGAGAGGGTAAAGACACAATTTCAGTAAGCCTTGCTATAGCTCTTTTCATTCAATTTTCACTCTATCCATAGTTGTGGGAGTTAACAGTAAAGGATGGCATCACTTGGGAATCTGCCTGTCATTGATAAAGGAATACAAAACCTTCATATGGGACAGTGAAAGGAGTAAGACCCAGCTATGATATGTCCATTGCTTGAGATTGTTCAGTAAACCTTCAATTCGACATAAAGAAAACTGAGAATATAAGTAAATGAAAAAGAAAACTCAGGAGAATATGCACTCATATAGGTAGAACACAGGTTTAGCACAATGACTTATTAGGTTAGTTGTAACACTCTAGTTAATCATGCAACAAGCTATGTTGAAAAATTCCCTGTAGAACATGTACACTTCTAAGTCATGAATATAAACAGAGTAGAGAGTTGACAGAGCAAAAATATATTGGAGATCAGGATTTGCCAGACATGTGGGGGCCTAGATATGTGATATTTTAGGCTTTAGCAGCCATATGGTGTCTATCATGTCTACTCATCTCTACCATATTACTGAGATTGTAGACCTAAACAGTACGTAAGGGAATGGCTATGTTGTGTTCCAATCAGATTACACTGGCAAGGCTATTATTGAACTCTGTTTTAGGAAAGACATTAGCATAGTAAAGGAGATACCTATAGTCTCAGAGATCTAGAGACAGTTGGGTATTGATGGTCAGTGAAGTGAAGGTTTGAGGATGATGAAATTAACAGCAAGAGATGCAAAGGCAGAAAAGCCGAGTGAGCTTAAGGTAATAATGAGAACTTTAACCCGTAAATCAGAGTTTGGACAGATGGTCAAAAGATTTGATGGTGATACGTGGAAGAGATTGTCCTGGAAGGATTTTTGAGGAGAATAACTTTTTGGATTATGCATTTCAATAATAGAAGGATTGGAGTAGGTTGAAAAATCAGGTATTACATGTTTCATCAGGGTTGGGGCGATGGCTCAGTCTGTAAAGAGCTTGTTATGCAAGCATGGGGACCTGAGTTCAGATACCCAGAACCCATAAAGAGAGATAAATTCGTCGTCTGAGTGCTGGAGAGATGGAGAAACAAGTATCCTGGAGCTTCTGGGCCAACTAGTCTAGATGATTTGATAAGCTTCATGTCCTGTCAGAGACCCTGTCTCAAGAAATAAGGTGACAAGGGACTGAGAAACTCTCTCAACTTTGACATTGTCCTCTGTGTACACATACATGCACACACATATATGCAGACACACATGCACACACATACACGTGCACACACACACATGCACGAACACACACTCAATTAGATGATAGATAGTGGACAGATACAGAGATAATATATATATACATATATATATGTATATATATATATATATATATACAGATGATAGACAGATGTACAAATGGATAGATAGATGATAGATATAGACAGACATAATCAATCAATCATCCAATCAATCAATCATGTTTATCCAGTGAAGTCTCTCCGGTTTTCAGTCACACAATGTGTGTGAGGAGGACAGGGAGAAATTTGCATCAGTCATTTGGCAGGGCCATATTTCAATTTTCATTATATCATTCCTGAAACTCAATGAAAAATTATTCAGTGGGTTCAAATACAGAAAGAACAATTTGGAGGTGGCTCATGTAGACAGTGATGTGAAATTTTTAAAGGGCATAGCTGTTAGGAACAGGCAAAAATGAATGTTTTGGCAGAAACTTGCTGTATTACTTGATAAATGCCAGAGAAGATTTAAACAGTGATGCCTGCTCTCAGTATTTTAAACTGACTTTTAACTGTGTAAATGTGCATACATAGGAGTTAAATGCTTCATTGTTGACATTCAGTTTATATGTGTATATATGTATATATATTAGATAAACACAAAGCAAAATAATAATAAAATAAATTATTCTAAATTGTAAATAAGTAGTTGATAATGCCGATTTCTGGAGAAGTCACAATAGTAAATTTCTTATGATCATTTAATCCCTTAGGACAAATCAAGTTTGGCCCCATGTATGCCTGTGCTATTTACCATCTGACTATTTTTCTTAAGATAGTGTAGCTTTCACTTGTGATCATGTCAATGCTGAGTTCTTGACTCTTGTAAATATAAACATTACACCCCATCTCCCAAATGATGTTGAGAATGATTTGGAGGAAGAGAAGAAAGAAGAGAGGGGTAGGCTGAGGTGATGAACAACGGCTTGATGTTCATATGTGGCTAATTGTAAATTCTCGGTGACAGAAACCTGACAATGCCTTTCATAAATCACATGGCTTTGTTCATATCTCTTTTGACATATGGTTTTAGGTCGATGCCACTAACACTTCTGGTTTCTTCCTTCCTGTGCAGCCCTGATCTGTTCAGCACTAATGATGACAAGAGTGATTGGTGGAGGTCTTTCAAAGGATTTAGAGCCATCACAGGAGAAAAAGTAGGGATGGAATACCATTTATAAGATCCAAAGAAGAACAAAGTCCACATTAAGAGCTGTGACTTGACCATCACTTAAAGGACTGTCATACAAAGTCTCATGTGTCACTTGAAATATATTGACACTTCAAGCACAAAGTGGGCCAGAGAGAGAGTTAAAGGTCTGAAAACCTTAGCATTCTTTCTTGGAATGAGTTTCCAGGGAGAATAGCAAAAGTCATGATTCATCTTGATATTTTCTTTTTAGTTATTATTTTTTAGGCATGTATTGCCAAAAGTCATTATATTTGTCTTATTATTTGTAGAGTCCATGGTTATACTTCCTAAATATCTATAGAAAATATAGGGATTAATATTCTCAAATTGTTGGCAGCATCAATGGCTTGGCCTGTCATCCTTTTCCTCTTCTCCATCACACCACTAATCCTTGAAAGCAGTCAGACTGAAACCGATTCTGTATCTTGTGTGACTGTTACTTGATTTTGTTTATTACGAGGTTAATAGAGCATTCTTTACACCATATTTACTTTAATTTCTCTCAAAGATGAAAAAAAAACAGTATGATGCATCATGATAGTGAAGGTATTTAAATAAATAGCAGTTCTTACTCTTATCAATTATCAATACTTCAATATTTCAAAAAATGTTTACAGGAAATGGTAATCAATTTTAAAAAGTACTCTTTCTTATAACAATACCACATTAATTGAAAAATTAAGAGAGTAAATCTAATATAGTTTTAAAAATACAAATTTAGTTAAAGGCGAACAATTGTAAGGCAATTAAAGAAAGTACAATGTAGAAAGATGGGTATATGTTTTAATTTCGTTACAGTGTCAGATTTCACTTTACCATCCTGCCAGATAAGTTCTGAAGTCAGACAAAGTGATTTCATATCTTCTTGCACAGATTTATAAAACCTACTGCTTCTCCTGATTATAGTGAAAATTTTATTAGATATTAAACACCACTTAGCTAAATATATAATGTATATTAAATAATTATTAATAGTCAATGATTTTCATCTTTCAGCTATTCATATTCAAGTCAGATAAATGCAAATTTGAGAAAATTTCTGTATTCCTACTTTTGTTTCCCGTGACATACCAGTGTAATATAGCTTATAAAATGAGTTAGGGCACATACCAGTAAAAAATGTCAAATTTAAAAACACCCTATTTTGGAGAGTAATTCACATACACTTTATTTATGCAACTGCTTGTGTATTGATTGGCACTGATATTCAAAATAAAATGAAAATTTAGTCAAGTTTCCTGGCTAACATAGTATCAAAAATTAATTTTTATAATGATGTTTCATATTGCGTATACCATTTATTCTTTTCAGAGTACATCTAGATTTGTGTAAACATTCACAAAAGAAACATATTTAAACATATGAATAAATATTTAGGCATTAAATATTAATTATGCACCTGTTTGGGAGAGAGATAGGTAGGTAGATAGACAGATAGAAAGAAAGAAGGAAAGATAGACGACAGACAGACAAATAGATAGGTAGATAGATGTGGATACATTTGTATTATGTATAGATGCACATATATAAAGCTAAGTATATAAAAATATATGCATAAGTTTAAGTATATATACATTATTGATAAAAATTGTAATTATGCTTTTAAGCTTCTGTTTTCAAAATGATACTACAGAAAACTACTGAGATCAGCCTCCATTTTAAGCACAGTAAGAAATCTAAATTTTCATCAAAATTAGATGGGGGTGTTTGTTCTTGTTTTAACATTTATATGCATGTGGCAGCTGTGTGCTAGATTTTGAATTACTTAGGTAATATGACATCAATTTTTTTGATTCTTAGATCTCTATGTTAGATATTTCCTTGGGTTTTTTTCGGAGTGTGACTGAAAGTGTTTTTTGGTATATAAACCAGTTTAGACAGAACTCTCAATGGATTCTTCTTAGCAAGGCAGAACCAGTGGCCTCATTCTGTAAAAATTAAGGCATCATGTCTGTCTGCAGAAGGAAATTACTTTGGTATTACCTCATTTTCAGTTGCTTTCAGAGTTACCAAGCTTCCCAGAGGACCGCTCATCTCCTTCTCTCAAACAAAAGGTGACTTTAAAACAATCTCAATGACTGTAGTTTCATTACTGCCTAGGACCAAAATGGGATGATTCTTATATTGAGAACAAATAATGCAAATTTTTTTTATATTCTCTATTTGCTTAAGTATTTTCTACTATTTTTAAAAGGAAGGGTTCAATTTGACTTATAGTTGGAGAGTGCAGTCCATAAAAGCAGGAAAGTCATGCCAGAAACAAGAGTTAGCTGGTCACCTATTATCTGCAAACAGGAAGCAGAAAGAGATGAATGGTGCACACAGCTTACTCTTATTTGTATTCAGTCCAGGTCCCCACCTATATAATGCTGTTGCCCATACTCGGTGTGTATTTTCAGCTTAATAAACATAATCTAGAAATTTCCTTATAGACATCCTGAAAAAAAGAATCTCCTCTTATTCCACATCTCATCTTGGTGACAGTACTGACCATCATATCATGTGACCTTTCAAGGATTAAAGGAAGCAGGGACAACACTGATCTACACCAGCCTGAGTCTCTTGTAATAGAGTACAATGAACAAAAAATAATAGCTCGGTACTTTTGCTTGCTCTCTGATAAAGTTCAGGAAGAGTGGTGCTAAATCTCTCAAATACTTCTTCAGCAGTCTGGATGCTCACAGCTACACTCCAGTGTAGCTCAGTTACTAAGCAGGAGTAAAACCGTTTTACTCACATAGAAAAAAATTGGATGGCAGCGGTTTAGTAGTGAATTTACAATTATTAATATTTATGCCAATAATAGCTTAATGGTGCATCTGTTAATATATGTGGAAGGAAAATGTTTATAGACAGAGGCATAAAATTGAAAAATAAACATATAACAAAGGAGGATACTCTATTGAATAGACAATATAAACCCATATTCAAGAAAGGACCATTTCCAGTGACCATAATGTTTATTTCTCATTTGTATATGATTGCATTAGGCGACTGAGAACAGCAATTGGCGATGCAGCAAACAGGCAAACCGTATAAAAATAAAGACTGTGCAAAGTACATTTTTCCCTTTTGTAATCTTCAGTTGCAGAAATTTACACATTTAAGTAACCATCTGTTTTCCTCAGGAAGAAATCATTTTCATTTCTCTCTCTCATCTTGCAAACAGCTGTCAGCCAGGAGGGCAGAGAGGATATTTATTGCTCACATCAGATGAAGCCTGGGACAGACTCCAGTAATCCTCAAGTTTCAAAGTCTTCTCTATCACTAAGTCGCCTTTGTTTTTCTCATTCATCACTCTTCGTCTGTTGTACGTTTTCCTTTTGTAGCTTTTACTGCTGGCATCAAATCTTGGAGAATTCTGCTGGATACCTCTCTCCATTATAATTATTTCAACCAATATTTCATATTGAGCCTTACTTCGAAAAAATTCTTATGCATCATTTTGAATTTCTGGTTGAAATATGTATTTTTCAATGCATTTTGCAAAATAATAAATACAAATCAAGAATGTTAACATTACAGAAATTTCTATCATACTCCATTGGGAACTCTGCACAAAAGGTCATCATTTGTTAGGATTTTGTTAAATTTAATGATTTTTTTCTTCTATTATGATTAAATTTTTCTGTTTGGGGAATGGGGCAGTCCCCTCTTATGTTTCCTAAATTAAGTTAACATTAGCACACAGAAATTTACAAATATTAGAAAATCAATATTTTGATTTGCTAATTTGATAATTCTTAACAGGTATATTGGTTAGAGTCAATATTTCTGCTAAAATTGTATCATTCAAGAAAACGTTCCTGTAAACTTTCCTAATCAGGTCACATCCATCTCAGAAAAAGCATCAGTGGTTTCTACTCCGAATGTGTTTTTTTCTAAAATTACCATTTTAAATAAATGAAATTATTCATGTTCATAGGTGCTAAGTAGACAGGTGATCACATGGTTCATAAAATTCTTGGCATAGCAATGAAAAGGACAGAAACTTGAAGTTAAGCACAGACATGATCACCTAATAACTGTCAGAAGTTAAGAGTTACATACAGAGGTCACTGTGGTAATTGGTAATGGATTTACAAGAAGGTAAGACTCTAAGAGAAATGCCAACCAAGAGAGATTTTATTCTACAAGATTCCTGGTGACTTTGAAGTAACTGTGGTATACTGAGCCAGAAAGAAGCTTAGGAAACAAGATTACTAGAGTTATAATAATAGAACTGAGACAATTAATAAAAACCCTTTGGAATAACTCATGTAACTATAAAGATAATGGAACAGTATTATGAAATGCATTTACAGAATTACTCAGTGGCATACAGTCAACAGAAGAGACAGAACCTTTGTTCACATTCCAACTCTAATGTCTGTTCCAGAGACCCTGCTCTCTACTAACTGGAAAACAAGATAGTTACCATTATTGTGAACATTTTATACAGATGGACAAGGCTTTTATACTGGTACTCACAGTTCTTAAGTCATCCGGAGACTGTAATTCTGAAAAAACAAAATCAATGCAGCAGGGAGTCAGAAAGACTGAAAGTAGTGTGTAACTGTATAATATTGCAACCTAGAAACAATTTCATCTGAAATAAAGCACTTTCTGCAGGGTAGATATAGGAAAATCCCTGAAAATAGTAAGCCCTCTGCATCTTGCTGTCATTTATTTTATATTATCTGAAAATCAAACACTGGTCCTATTGGGAGGTGAGCATAAGAAGCCTGCATTCTATGAAGGCAATTGCCTTACAAGAGTAGCACACAGCACTGTACTCTAAAAACAACTTTAGATTTGGCTAGCGTGTGAAAAGTATTCAAAAAATTCTACGAGCAGTGGCTGTCCAGAGAAATAACGGTGTCACCTCTTCTTGATTAAGAAAGTCATGATCTGAATAAATGATTTCTAGACAGTAAAAAAAAGGCAAAATAAAACATGAAAATCCGACAAGTTTCATATTTTTTTTAGATGAAATTCACTGAAAAGTGAAGTGGAGGTAATATGGCCATGAAGGCGTCCTAGGAAATAACCACTGTCATTTCCTCAGATTAACAGGGATTGTCTCTAGGAGACTCAGATAAGAAAAGCCAAGAACGTGCAATCTCTTGTATAATGTAGTGTCATTTCATATATCATGTATACAAATTCTACAGGTAAATCATCTGTTTATTAACACGAAAAATGGGAAGCCTAGGTAAATAGACATTATACTGAATTGATTAAGCAATTATAAGAAAATATCTACATATGGACAGTACATATGCAGAAATATTTTCCTTTTTTAAATTATAGTTTTCTCAAAGACAATTGCACACCGGGGTGTGGAACTCATAGATATGAGCAGCTATCTAGCTCTGAAAATTACCAACTGCAAATTCTTGACTTTCCCACAAATATAGTAAATTTTTATTAAAGAGGAACATATGAATAAGCAGAAGAAAATAGATACGCCAAAGAGCAAAAGTACTATAATAAGCAGAATTCTGTCTCTGTTAGATGTTTCAGAAATCAAACCAGGAATATTTTATAAATTAGCGATATATTGTGAGTTCAAGGGTGACAACCTTTCATTCAGGAACATAATATTTAGAGAAGATTACAGCACCTTAGGGCATATTTTCAAATTTCCTATTCTCTTTTCTCTACCAAGCTGTTATCCATATGATGGAAGCTTGATTATATAATCTCCTGAGAATAGTTAACATTGGAAAGTGAATTTCACTTTCCAGAAAAATTCCTCATTTAGGAATTTGTATCCCTACCCTGGTCAATTGTCATATGAACCTTCTCTTTGGCAGGTGACATTCAGGAGGCAGTACTCACACTGTGAAGGAGGTGACACCTGTAGGTCATCAGAACAGAGATAATAGACTCCTTTTGGAAAACAGCTATGGAAAAAGTGTGTCTGGGATGCCCACTGTGCACTCCCAGGGCCCTGGAACCTAACTGTCTGTAGACCTAGGATGCCCACCATCCATGCCCAGAGCCCTGGAACCTAGTTCTTTGTAGACCTGCGATGAACATTGTGCACTTCCAGGGCCTTGGAAGCTAGGTGTCTGTAGACCTGGAATGCCCTGCCCACTGTGCATCCCAGGGCCTTGGAACTTAGTTATCTGTAGACTTCTGCTGAGCAGTTTGTTCAGGAACTCACGATGCTCTTTTCTTTAGAGATTCTTGAAATGAACTATAGCAACAAAGCTGTAGCTATTCTCAGGTTCTAATGACACCACTCCTAATCTATTCCTTCTACTGGATATTCATTTTTACCTTCAAAATTCATCAACAGATTCTGGGTGGTATATTATGGGATCTAACCAGCAGGATTCTAGAGTTGTAAGATACCATGGCATAGTCAAGTTTATTCAGGTCCTTATACAGCAAATGTTACTTTATAAAATAGTTATCATAGTGTTTTTGTTACCAAGATCTAGCACTTGCCTTCTCTGAACTGTTTTTGTCATTTCTACTGAAATGAAGGCAAGACACTGAGAACAGAGTACAGAAGAAACAGTATATTATAGTGTAGAATGAGACACATTCAAAGGACAAGTGTGGCTGATGGCCAAGTGACCAATGGGGGGGAAAAACTCTCAAGGGGTGATAGAAACAGTTGTGAAGTAAAATAGTCTAATGTATTGGGAGTGGACAGTAGTGAAAGGAAGACTTTCTTATGGGATCACAATGGACAATAGGCAGAAAAATGATAAAGGAAGAAAACCCTCTCAGGGGTGAGAGTGGATAATGGATGGAGTGATCATTATGTCAACCTCCACTTTATTTAGAAATTATAATCTATTTATAGACTTTATTACTATAGAAATTATATTATAGGCTATATTACTAAAGTTTCCAGAAAATCAAGTCTGTTAGAGGCATTTTTCTGCACAAGCGATTGGCAGGATTACTAAGTTAAACTCTTAAGGAAAGTCTCCTATTTACTGTGTATTTGGAAGTTTTATTTGTTTGTATTTTGCTGTTTTTTTTTCAACAACTCACACTAGATTTATCTGGGAAGAGGAAAGTTAGTTGAAAAGAATGTCTATGTCAAATTGCCTTTAGACAAGTATGAGGAAGCATTTTCTTCATTAATATTTGATGTGGGAGAGCTTATCACACTCAGAGCAGTGCCATGCAAGGGCTAATGGTTTTTGATGGTATTAGAAAGCAGGCTGAGGGGGCTATGAGAGAAGTCAGTAAACAGGTTCCTCTGTAGCATCTGCTTCAGTTTCTGCATTTAGATTCCTGCTTGGGTTCCTTCTTTAGTTTTCATCCATGAAATATCATGTGGGATATGTAAGGCAAGGAAGTCCTTTCCTCTCATATATATATATATTTTTTTTTTGACCATGGTATTTACTACAGCAATCGAAAGTACTCTAAGACAGGAGGGATCAACAGGTATGACTGTGTTCTTTATTGTAGGGTGTATAATGTAGAGCCTCAAACTAGATCATGACCAGGTGGCTAGTGTAGATGACCACATCTCCACACAGGGAAAGGACAGGGATACTGAACAAATCCCACTCTTCTGCTAGCAACTGGAGTCCTACAGCTTCAATTCCAGGTTTTATAACTTTTAATTATGTGAGAGCGGTCCATTCTTAATGACCTTCAATTCAGGTGGTAACAAGCTCTTAAAACTTCTTAAATTTAAAGTAGGCAGATTTGCATAAACCTCCTGACTTTGCCAAGACAAAATGTGCTAATCTAAATAAATAAAATGCTTATTAAAGTTGCTGACATCGTCCCTAGTAAACTTGTCCCCAAGCTTCCTTAGTGTCTGTTTTTACATTAATTTGTTAAGGAGGCTAAGAATCTTAAAAAGAAAACACAATTTTCCCTGTAGGAATAAATATGCTTAATTTGATATTTCAATGTTAGTAATCGATTCTGATGAATGAAATATGAAGATAAGAGGATCGAGATAAAAATTAAAGATAGAGTAATTTAGTGTTGTGTATTAGAGTGAAGATAGACTTAAATGCTTTAGGAGTAAGGCTAAGCAATAACTCTTCAAGTTTGCCATGGTAGTGCAGATCCTGTAATTCTACATACTAGGGAAGCTGAAGTAGGAATATAGGAATTTGAGGTCTTCCTGGGCTATTGAATGAGTTCAAGGCCAACACAAGCTACACCTCAGGACCTGGTCTCAAAATAACATGTAACTTGATATCTGTGGATGTAACTAGTGATGTTGTACTTGAGTAACACGTGTAAAGGCTCTAGATTCAAACTCTATGTTCATACGAAAGTGAATGAATGAACAAATAAACAAAAATACACTCATTTCAGTGGTTATAAATTCTTCAGCACTAATAATGTCAAGGGTGTTGGTTTTATTCCCCAGAGGCTATAGGTGAAGAGGATATTTTGCCCAAGTGA